GCAGCAAGGCAGAATTATTACACTGATTCTAGAAAACAGAGGCAAGAGTGTGGCAAAAACGTTCATAAATCAGATTCCTGTCAAAAGCTACAGAAGACAGATCCAAAATATCTATTACCGTTTTTCACAGAAAAACCTGAACAAAACCCAAACAAATTAGCAAAGTTAACTTTGATAAAATCTAAATGCCACTTAAACGCAAGCAAGACTTCTCAGTACTATTAGAACAAAACTTTTGCCAATTAATAAACAATGCCAGAGAGTTTACCAAACAAAAGCCAGGTAAAAATGGACTGTTCAAACTAAAATATATTTTGCTTTTCCTGTTCAAGTGAAAATACAGCCATTTTCAGGAGGAGTAAAGAGCTGTAGCAATAACTGTATTTTACATGTCCAGAAGAACTTCAGCTTTCTCTGGACAACTCCAGGTTTAACCTCTGCTCCTGGAGGAGATGCACATTTGTGGACACACACATTTAGAGAGCTGGGGAATTACAGACTGGAAATTCCTTTCAGGCCTGGATTTCTCCTGACTCTCAGCTCCATTCCCAGGCTGACAAGCTGACTGCAGCTTCAGTTAGGGAGGAGTCTCCCAGGGTGAGAACATGGTGACAAACAGAGTGGAATTCATCACCAACATTAACACCTGGTGTCTTTCCCGTGGGACACATCCTGAGGTGCTGTCCCAGGGATGTTTTTCCCAACTGTCCAATGAGCTCCTGTCCTGTCCTGGCTGCACTAACACACTTTAAATCCGGGCTGTCTGTACAATAAATTGGCCTTTTTTCCCTAAAGAAGTCCGTGTGTGTTGCTATCCTTTCTCTCTCTTTCTAGCGCAGTAACCACACACATTCAGTGAACAGAGGGGCTTAAAGAAAGCTGAGAGGGATTTTCACAAGGTAACGGGATGGCAGGACAATGGGGAATGGACTTTAACTGAAGGAGGGCAGGGCTGGGTGGGATATTGGGAATTAGGAATTGTTCCCTGGGAGGGTGGGCAGGGCTGGCACAGGGTGCCCAGATCAGCTGTGGCTGCCCCTGGATCCCTGGCAGTGCCCAAGGCCAGGCTGGACACTGGGGCTGGGAGCAGGGAACGTCCTGACACATTGACACCTCCCTTCCACCTTCTGCCTCCTCAAATTAACCCCCAAAAGCCCAGCAGCAGCAGCAGCCGGTTCCGCACGCACCCGCAGCGTTCCTTCCAATGGCCACGATGAACCTGGAGCACACCAAGGGCTCCTCGGCACAGCCGCCCGACCGCCAGGTCCACAGCACATCGATCTCCCTGGGAAAGGAACCACACGACACCGAGCTGGGAGAGACCCACAGCGACCGTCCAGAGCAACTCCTGGCCCTGCCCAGCCCCTCAGCAATCCCAGCCTGGGCATCCCCGGCAGCTCCTGGAGCTCTGGCAGCCTCAGGGCCGCGCCCATTCCCTGGGGAGCCTGGGCAGTGCCCAGCACCCTCTCGGAGAGGGAAGAACCTTTCCCTAAGCTCCAGCCTGGTACCTTTTCTTCTCGATCTCCTTGCGGATCTCCCGGTCCTCAGGCGTCTCCTCCCGCGCCTCCTCCTCCTCGTCCAGGCCGGCCCGGGACGGGGCCACCACCACCTCACCGAAGAAAGTCGCCATGGCCGCCCGCCCGCGCCTGCGCGGCCCCGCCCGCCAGCGCCGCAGCGGGCCCGGGAGGCTGCGGGGACGGGGGGGACACACGGGGACACGGCCGTGTGACGGTATCGCCGTGTGCCGGCGACATTTCCGTGTGCCGGGGACATTGCCGTGTCCCGGCGATACCGCCCTCAGCATCCCGAGCTTCTTCCCCAAGGGCCGCATCACGGACGGCCCTGGAGCGCTCGCAGAGGCGGTGACTCCCAAACCTCCCTGGGCAACTTCTGCCAAGGATTAGCCGTCGTTTCGGTGAAGCAAATCATTCAGATATCCCATTTAAACCTCCCCTGCCTGAACTCGGTGCCGTTTTGTCCTGTCCCTGTTCCCTGGAGCAGAGCCCGACCCCCCCTCCCTGCCCCTTCTGCCAGGGACTTGTGCAGAGCCACAAGGTCCCCCCTGAGCCTCCTTTTCTCCAGCCTCAGCCCCTTTCCCAGCTCCCTCAGCCCTCCTGGGGCTCCAGCCCCTTCCCAGCTCCCTTCCCTGCCCTGGACACCTCCAGCCCCTCCAGGGCTCTCCTGCAGGAGCCACAACTGGACACAGCCCTCGAGGGTCTCTCAGTGCCAGCACAGAGGGACAATCCCTGCCCTGCTCCTGCTGGACACACAATTCCTCATCCAGCCCAGCTGCCAGTGGCCCCTTGCCCACCTGGGCACCCCTGGGCTCGTGTCCAGCCCCTGGCACCAGCACCCCCAGGCCTTTTCCAGCTTTTCCAGCCCCTTTGCCCAGCCTGGAGCTCCATGGGGTTGGGGTGACCCAAGGGCAGGACTGGCCCTTGCCCTGGTTGAACCAAATAAGAGCACAGTGACATTCCAGGTGTATGTACAGCTTTACTTTGGTCCACTAACACATGTACATCATCAAAGCCTTTAACACGAAAGAATCTGATTCCTTTATGATTCTGTCCTGCACTTTAATGTTGCCCTCTGTTCATGTTGCCTGATCACCATCAGATTCAGGTCCTGCTTTAAAACAAACCAAAACAACCCCCAAAATTTACATTAAATAAAGATCCTACTTTTAAAGATCTACTACTTCCCTGAGTACAGCTACACCAAACCAAAAATGCTCACTTAAAGGAAGGTGAAAGAGCTCCCAGTTCAGTAAGAATGGGATGCTCCTTTAATAAATTAAAAATAAATAAACAAACTCTTAAAGGGTGAAATACCTTTCCAGTTTAATAATTTCTCTTCCCACTATGTGTATCAAATTAGGAAAGACAGACCAGCACATGCTTTGCTTAGAAAATGGAAGTGTTAGGGTTCCTAAGGCAGTGATTCCCTCTGGGATCTACAGCTCCAGAGGCCAGAACCTTCTCCAGCTTTCAGGGATCACCATGAACCTGTGTGTGCATTGACAGAATACAGCACCTGAAAGAAAACCAGCTTTGTAAATCTAAGCCTAGATTAGGAATACAAACCTACCAGCCAAATTTTAGCTGTTCAAACTGAAAATTAATGAAAACTGATGTTTCGGTTTAGTTATTTCCAAATTGGAGGTTGTACTCCAGATAATACTGAGAATAAGCACCTGCTAAACAATGAAGTTTATGGAAAATATTTTAAAAAGTGGACTTACTACCTTGTAACAAAGTTTGCTCCTCAAAGAAAACACAAGACCATCTTCAAGTTTCATCACTAAACACAACTGTGTTTGTATGTCAAGAAACCAAATAAAGTATCCAGATAAACGTTTATCTTGAATTTACAAAATTCTGCTGCAATTCTGCTGCATCCTGTTAAAGGCTATGCTCTAAATAAAATTTTCCTGGGGCAAGAACAATTTAAATTATTTTTGGACTTCACAAGGAAGTTTTAAGAAAAAAAAAAAGAGTATTTCTATATGCTGAGATAATATCTGGGATAACAAAAGTGATGGTAAATGCAGACAATGTCAGTGAGGGTGTTGGAGAAGTGGCTCTCACTGATGCCAGTTCCCTCTTTCATGATGTATTTCCATTTGTACAAGGAATTCTGTCATTATTCACCAGGATTGTGCAACTGCACTAAATTTTTTTACCCCCAAACCCATCCAGATCCCACTGCTGGAAAACCAATTCCCAACCTTGCTATTTCAGTTCAAATGAGCTAGGTTAGGATAAATCTAATATTTTGCCACATCTTCTACTCAATGATGAAATCAGGAATGAGCAAGTTTTCCTAAGTGGGAGAAAAGGGAAACTGCAGAGCAGAGGAGGAACTGCAGAGCAGTGGGGAAGGAGCAGAGATTCCCTGGTGCTGGGCTGGGGGAAGCCACCGTGGGGCTCCCACCAGCACAATTCCAGGGAAAAAGAAGAATTTAAGAGTTGCTGTGTGTTTTTGTCCTTGATATGTGTTCAACCAGGGACTTCCACGTATTTTCCTGGAGAAATTTTCTTTCTTGTCAACAAGAGCCACCTCAAACATTGTGAAAACAGGAGATATACTGCAATGCTCAGAAACTGGTAAGGTTTAATCAATGGGAAATCCAACATTCAAACACTTTAAATATGGAGGAACAACAGAAACGTAGCAAAAAAAAAAAGGTCTGGAATGTCGGAATCCTGCACCTCAAGCTTTCCACGCATAAAGAAAACAGAACAAGTGTTTTGTTTGTTTTTCTATTTTATAAAGAAAACACACAAAAACCCTTTAGGCCCAAGAGTTCACCTGCATTTCAAAATCTTAAAGTTTACAGTATAGAAGTCACATTAATGATGTACTACCTGTCAGCAGAACCCTCTGTTCACCTCTGGAACTGGCAAATAAACTTCTTCACTGGTAACTGCTTATCAGCAATGCAAGTACAGAACATTTAACACCTGCACTGAACAAGCTGTGAAGTTCTCAGCCTTTTCATTCCTCTTTGGATGCAATGCTTGCATCCACCAGGTTTTTAGAGTGTGTACTATTATTTAGAAGCCTGTTACTATTGTAGATGATTTCATACAGCATTAGAGATGTTTGAAATCTGTTCTTGAATGTTGCATGACCTAGGTAGTATTTCATTGCAGCACCCATAACAATAATACTCAACATACTGCTATTAACCTGTTCGCAGTGTTTCAACATTTTTTAACTCTTGTTTATATGTAATAAAATACCAGTAAAGACAAAAAATTGCCCCTATAATGAGGCACATTTTGGCATCTGTGCTAAATGCTGCTACATGGGCAGGCAAGTGCAAGTCAAAAATATGAAAAAGGAGAAAGTCATCATCTAATCACATTCATTAACTTTTTCATAGAAAAATATAAATATATTCCCTGAAATGTAGGACAAAGAAGAGCCAGCACTCATCCGGAGTTCTAGTGCTATTACCATTAAAAAAAAAAAAAAAAAAAAAAAAAAAAAANAAAAAAAAAAAAAAGAAAAGATGGGCTGGCTTTCCTTTTGTGTTAAGGTTACGTTTCGCAGCCGGCCTCCTCGAGGGCTCTGTCGTCGTCGTCGTCGCAGTCGTCGTAGCGCACGGTGCGCCGGCCGCCGTTGCGTGTGCGGATCTTGGAGCGCCGCCGCGCCCGCCGGCACCCGCCGAACTCCAGCTCCTCCGAGTCCTGCTCCTGGCTGCCTTTCCGCCGCTTCCGCCTCCTCCGCTGCGGCCTCCGGCAAGGCTTCAGCAGCTCCGAGTTGATGCTTTCTTTCCTGGCGGGTTTGGATCTCCTCTTGCGCTTCCTGGTTTCCGTGGTGGCGTCGCTGCAGATGGTGGTGTCGGTGCCAGAGTCCGAGGAGAAACACGTGAAGTTGGCTTTGGAGCTTCCTGCAGTCCCAGGTGCTTCTGCATCCTCGGAGGCAGAGCTTTTCTCCTCTTTCTTTCCCCCCATTTCAGATTCTGTTGTTTCTTTGGAGTCATCCACCGGTTTTAATCTCTTGAAAGAAGCTCTGGGTTTTTTATTCGCTGCTACTCTGGTATTTTTAGTTTCAAGTTTAGCTAAGTCAGAATCTACCTCCTCTTCGGAGTTACTCGTACAATGGTTGTGGGCTGAAGCTGCCCGCCTAGAAATCCCCCAGTTCCCCCCATTTTCTACCCTGTGGTTTGTGGAATTCTCCTCCGAGGAGTCGTAGTCAAAATGATTCAGAGCCGCAGCACAGAGGGGTTTGTGTGGCTGCACGTGGTTCTCACTCTGCTTCTGAGTCTCTGTCTCCGAGTCAGTCCTTTCATTCTCAGACTCAATAATGTATTTCCTTTTCGAAACAGAAGACTCAGGGCAGGAAGGTTTTCTCCTGCCAGAAACCTGCTCGCTCTCGTGTTCAGACCTGGAACACGGCTCCACCTCCGAGCTGTCGAACAGCTTCTTCCTGCAGGCTGAGGACACGCTGCCCTGGAGCTGCTTGCGGTTCTTCCTGACGGGGCAAACGCTTTCTGAGCTGGATAATTCCTCCTTTGCATCGCTCATTATTTTGATCTTGCTGGCAGCCAGCGTGGCACACCTGCGGGGGTTCTTCTTCTCCCCCACGCTGGACACCTTGATGTGTTTCTTGTAGTTGATGATGCACGTCCTGCTCCGCAGCACTTTGGCATTTTGGCCAGCCTCCTCTGATGTTGGCTCTACAAAAGAAAGAGTTCAAAGTTCCTTTTAGTGTCTGACATTCTTGAAATTATTAGTTTATTGTGGCCAAACGCTGCCACCTTTAATGAAATACACAAATATTGAATTTTATTTTGATTTCGACTGTTAAGTGTAATTTATCTCAGTTCTTTAGTAAAAATACCATCAGTATCCCAGGGGTTCTTTTAACTCTTGAGATTGTCATTTTCAAATCTTTTCATGGTCTCAGAAGAGCTTTCTTTACCATCACCCTGTTAATTAGATCAGAAATTACAAATTCCCTCACTTAACAAACAGAAATGCTGTCATATTATTAATACTTGTTTCATTAAAAGTTATATTTTTCTTACTAGGATAAAACTTGCAACATTAATTACACATTTTAAACCTTTTAATCCTAAGAAAGAAACTATAATATTTCATGTGGATGCAAGTTTCACAATTTTAGATGGTTTCAGGTAGAGAACATTGAAACCCTTCAGCTCTTTAGTGACTTTAACAGATTGCTGCTAAGAGTGAATCTTCCATTCAGTGTTTTTTAAATTAATATAGAACTTGCTTATGTTGTGTTTTAAAACAAATATTCAATGTGTAAATCATATACTATGAAGATCAGTGTTTCCCTTTTAAATAAAACAATTCATACTTATGAATTAAAAAAAATAATCAGAAGTTCTTGAAGTAAATTTAAAAAAATAAACAAAGAGGGGAAAATTATGAGACATAAATTCCAAAGTCCAGGTTGAGTACCAATATTAACAACCTCTTCATATATCAAATCTGGTCCTTATTTAAATGTAGATCCTTTTATGTACTACTCTAGTACATTGCTATTTTTACATTTTCAAAGGACACTTAATTTCCTTTCCTTGTGAAGAGGTTCCATAAATGATACACGAATATTACTACTTGCATTGTGTGATTTTATGGCCAAAGCACAACACTGTACACTGCAAAATGCTGTATAAAAGATGAATTAATCCACAGATTAAAAAGAAGAGTTAGATCTTATATTATACACTGTCCTCCTATATTATTAAATAGCTGGAACACAAGCTAAAGAATAAAGAAGTCCACCCTTTCTGCAACACTGCCAGAATATTAAAATTATACTTTATGCACAGTATCTTAAATTTGGAACAAATCTATAATAAAATGTATTTTAATTCCTGTGAACATCCAGAATTAAAAACTGCAAAGCTACAACCAGGTGGCACAGGCAGAAAGAGAGAGCATTAAACCAAGTACCCCAGAAACTGGAAGAGCTTTTAAAAGACACAGAGATGTAAAAGTCTGGTTCTTCAGTGTCCTGGAGTTCAGGCACCCAAAACCCAAACTCCAAACCTGGAATATTGGGCAGGAAAATCCAGTCTTAGCTCCAACCAGCTCAACTGCAGAGGGCACTGCAGCCACAAGGTATTGGCACAATTTATCTGAAAACTGCTTCCAATCTTTTCTGATCTATAAAATCCCATGCTAAACACTACATATCTACAAAATATATTATATATAACATAAGAGAATCTATTTTTAGGTGTAATGTATATATTATTTATATTATACATATTTTAAAATAACCAAAGCAAAGCTTCCACATAAATTATTTAGCTGGCTAATTGAGCAGAGTGTATATACACATATATAGTTACAGTTATAGATATAAAAAATACGTATTTATTTGAAAAATAGAAACTCTTCAAGTATGCCCCTATATATGTATTAAATATAAGTTCTTGGGACAAAACAAGTAAATATTCCTTGTGGAAAACTGTCAAGAGTCATCTTAACAGACAATTTTCTTAAGATTCTTAAAGCACATTGACAGGCTTGGAAGGACTACACCAGACACTAACCTCTGAATATTCTTTCAAATTCCAAATCAAGACCAATTCCCTGATTACATGAAGGCAAAATGTACATGACTTGGTTTAATAAAAACATCAGCAAGCTTTAAAAAAAATCCAAACCAAACCAACTCTCTAAATCATGATCAGCCAGCACACAAAGAACTGAGTGACAGATAAAAATTACAGAATAAAACCCAAAAATAAAAGAATGTAACCTTCTGGAAAAAGTGGAATATAAATCTCACTTCTGCCAAGTGCCTGTCTGTGTTAAGGACTCTACACATCATTGACAGAATAAAATCTCAGAGTCAAATCAAGTTTTGGGTTCCAGTGCACACCATGGATGTGAGAATAATTTAAACATCTTTCCATCAAATTCGTTTTGAAAAACTATCAATAAAGTTACTTCAACTGAAAATAACAGTTGGAAATCTGCTGTAGCAGAGAAAATCTCAACAGAAAATTAAGGCAAGGTAACAGAACTGCAAACCAGAGGGTTTTGGTTACCAAAATCTTCAAAACAAGGAACTGGACAAAGAGAGAGAACACACTGCTCTTTTGGAGATTTTCTCTGTCATTTACTCAGTATTAAGAAATAGAGAAATTAATTTTTAAAATGTTACCTTTTCTAACGATTTTTGTTTTTCCTTTCCTCTTCCTCATCTTTGCTTTTGCAGAAGTTTCACAGTAATTGCTGTTATTGGAATCACTCTCCGAGTCTGAATCAGAAGAGCGATGGAAGCTGGAGGCAGCTCCAGATTTGGAACTCCTCACAATCCTGGTGGGCACCAAGCTGTCCCACACACAGCTCTCCTCCTCCTCCTCCTCCTCTCTGGCTTCTGCTTCAGATTCTGCTGTGTCCTCTAAATCACTCAAGACTTTTGCTTTTTTTGAAGGAGGGGATAGCTGCAGCCCAGAGCCTTTCCTGCCATTCCACCTGTCCGACTCCGAGTCCACCTCATCCTCAGAATTGCTCACTGCAGGCTTGTGATGTGTAGGTGTTGACTGGCCAGAAACCTTTTGGCTGCTGCCATCCTCGGAATTATGGCTTTTGGAGTCCTCCTCTGAAAAGTCTAAGGTGGGACTTTTCACTTTGGGAGACACAGAGCAGACAGGGCCCCGGAGCTGTTTGTGCCCATTGCTCTGCCAGCTCTTCTGCTTGGTCTGCGTGTCGGGCTCGGAATCCGAGCTCCCATTCTCAGAATCACTGACGAATTTCCTCCGTGGAGCAGAGCAGCCAGCCTGAGAAAGAGTTTTCCTCTTGGTGAGCTGCTCTTCTATTTCTTTGTCACTCTCAGACTTCAAGCCTGCCTCATCCTCGGATCCCTCCAGCAGCATCCTCCTGGCGGCGGCCGAGGCGTTGCGGTGCGGGAGCTTCCTGTTCCTGCAGATGCCGATGCTCTCCGAGCTCGACACCTCTTCCTCCACGTCACTCATCAGCCTCAGTTTGTTGGCAGCCACAGCAGCGCTCCTGCGGGGCGTCTTCCTGTGCCTGCCCTTGCTGTTGCTGAGGGGCTCGGATGTCACTGCTGAAGTATTTTCAGAGTCACTTCCATATAACTTTTTCCTGACTGCTTTCCTTGTATTCCCGTTCTCCTGAAGAAGTGTTCCTGTAAAGGAAAGCAGGGATCAATATTTTAAATATGAAATAGCAGTTCTGAAGTCTTGTCAAAACTGGGACAGGTTCAACCCACAGACATGATGACATTCCCAGTGACAGGTGCTTTTGCTGTCAGAAATTTGATTTATTCTGGCTTTGTGACAATTAGAACTTCTTTATGAATTGCTGCTTTTTTCCTTAAGATATGCTGCAAGTCATTTCCTCTCACCAGGCTCTTGATATCTGCTCTCTTCTTCCAGTCATGAAAAAAATCTTTTAAAAACTTGAGTGTAGTATTTGAGAGCTTCAAAACTAGCACCAATTAAAAAAATAGTATCTTATACATATAACCATTAAAAAAACCCACTAACTCCACTCAGTTATTTTTATAAATATAAATATATAACTATAAAAAGATGCATTTGTCCTGCCACCCCACCTGTCTGTTTCCTCTGAGCAGCTCGGTTCCGAGTCAGCCTGCGACTGCTGTTCCTCCTGCACACGCCATTGTGGAGGGGAGAGGACACAGGAGCCCCAGAACAGCCTTTGCTGTCTTCTGAGCTGCTTGAGGAGGAGGAAGATGAAGAGGAAGTAGGTGAAGAAACCCCAGAACCTTCTATTTCACTCTCTGTTAAAAAAAAATAAAGCAATTGGCAGTTAGAATTCTAAACAGTTTCAAGTTTAGAGTTACATCTTGGTGATCCTGGAATCTTCAGAATTTCCTCACATTAACTTAAAATGTATTCTCGTGCCTGAATGTCTTACAGGGATCGAACTGATACCCCAAAAAAAATCCATATTCATACAGTGTTCAGTGACAGAAAGCTTCTTTAACCTGTATTTAAGTTTCAAATAAAATAAAACAGCTCTTTTCAAGCACCAGATTTAAAGGAAAAGCATGTTTAAAAAAAACCCTAAAACACAGAACATTTTCTAACAGATTTTACCAGGACTTGCATTCTTATTCTTTGAAATAAGCTGAATTTTTGTCAAGGTGAAGTGTAGGGGAAAAGACAGAAAAGCTTTAGAGTTTCAGGCAACTTCTGTCATTTGCTAATTATGGATAACAAGTTTTATATAACATACATACACATATATGGGCATATAATCTGTATTTTATACAGTATCAATTATCAAATACTCTATGCTTTCCTGTTGACAGGAATAAAAATTTACTATATTCTACATGATTTTAAAGCAAAAAAATTATATATAGTACACAAATCTTTTTATAATAATGCATCCAAAATCCAGTAAAACACAAAACTTTGCATCACACCAAATCCTGAAACCTTGTGTAAAAAACTTGCACGTTACAAACACAAAGCTCATTTAACAACTCGGAATGCAAATTGCAGCAATTCGAAATTCTGACCTGATGACAAAGCAGAACAATTAGTTAGTGTTGTGGATCTGGCCTTCCCATTCCTCTCAAAGGAGGGCAGGCAGGCAGAATCCGAGGATTCTCCCGAGGAACTCTGGTTGGAGGAGCCAGCGTTGGGTTTATGGCTTGTGACACAGGCGGCTCTGCTTGAGGTAGGCTGAGGAAAAGAATCTTCCTGCTCACATTCAAGTTTGGCCTGAGACTTTAATGGTTTCTGCTTCAGATTTCTAGTGAAAGAGAAAGTGGAAAAAGCAACACAGGTCATAAAACCAGGAGAGGGAAAGCATTTCTGTATTTTAACAACATTTGATACGATTTTGTGTTTCTGGGAGGGTATTTTATGAGTTAATGTGGCATGGGACAATTGTAATTCTGGCAAGGATAAACATGAAGTACTTTCATTAAAATAAGTCTGCACTCCTAGGGAAGTCATACAAGAGGAGACAATCTTTCTCTGCTCTGAGAAACAGAATTTAATGGTGGATGTCCTCCAGACAATTCATGTTCTCTTATTTTCACTGCAGCAGCAGCCTTAGTTCCTGTTAAGATTCCCAGCCTCTACTTAATTGCACATGAGCCTCCAACTAAATGCTATCCATGCAAACATTATTCTACAATAAAATGAGTTCCCAGAACACAGCAGGTGTAACCTTACAGACAGTTTAAAAGAAAGAAAACCTCACTCATTTGATCCTTCCTTACTGCCACAAGCCTGAGTGCTACCTGCCATCCTGCTCAGTCCATTATTTTCACCTACACAACTGTTTTATCAGATTTTTTCCTTACATTTTTCAGGTTTTCAGACACTCATTCAGGTGCACAAGGTGTATAATTTGTTATCCCAAACCTCACTTCTGCTGTGCCCCACTGAACAGTCACACACAATTCTCCAGATATGAGCACAAATGAGATTCAAAAGACAATTTCCACCTATCCTGGTCCCTGAAATTAGATTTTTTTTTTTTCTTTTCATTAAAACTCTTACTCCCACCCTTTCCCTGCCAGAGAAGCAAGACTGGGCAGCAGCAGAAGGGAAAAGCTCAGTTTCAGTAATTTACCACGTTTATTGTCCCACATGCAAATTAAGAGCAGGAGTTAATCATGTCAAACTGCAATTGTGTCAAAATTGTTTGTCTTCAAAAGAGAACAGACAAATCCAGCTCCTAAATGAATGCAACAGCAAGTGACAATTTCTAGAAATTCCATAGGACTGACTTTATATAACAAAACACAATTTATGCAGATTTTCAGCTTTGTAATATATCCAGCAAGTAAATTTTTGTTTCATTCCTCAGCATTTTAGTTAAATATTGATTTTCTGATTCAAATATTAAAGAAAAGCTTTTCTACTCGTCTGTCTCCTTGTATTTCTCAGTTTTATATTACAACAAAAGACCCTGATTTTTAAACATATTTTCCCTACTACATGAAAATTATAAAAAGTCTCACTGGGGTTGCAAACCATTAAAAAAAGAAATTTTTCCCCTCTTCACAGACTAAATGTGAGAGCCAACATGAATATCAGTCAGCTGAGATAAATCTTTACACTTTCATAATTTGATTACCTGAGCATTTTGGTGGGCTGCTGCACTGAGCTTTGATTATTAAATCTTCTCGTGCACCTCTGGTTTTTCCGTAGCTTTTCGTTCTGTTTCTGCCCATTTTTGAAATCTGAAACAATTCTTCGGATTTTCTCTTCAAACAGTGCTGACAATCTCAAGGTCATACTGTAAATCTAGGTAAGGAAGTGGTTTCTATTAAAAACAGAGCCTTTGATCCAAGGCTAATATTTGTAATATTCAAAACTGCACAGAAAAGCAATAGGAAAAGCACAGGCAGTCCTGTGTAACACCAAATAAATATGAAATGAACATATAAAATGTTTTTGCCCTATTTCTCTCCACTATCCACCAAGCAGCAGCTTTATCAAAAGTACTGATAAACAAATTGCAAAACAAGATTTAATTTAATTTTAAGACATTCACAAACCCTCTGATATTAACAGCTACCTTTGACTTTTTGTTTGGAGTATAAGATTTTGCATTACTAAATATCAGTCTGATGTCTTTGCACAGTTCCATTGGAGTGTCATAATTCCCAGCTTCCAGAGTTTCCTTCACTGTACCAAAATCCATTGGAGTGTCTATAATATGTCTGTAATCCTATAAAAAAATAAGAAAAAAGATTTCTGTGAAATATAAAGGAAAAAAAAAACTTTTGAATTTTATTTCTCATTTAGGAGTAGTTAAAATGACACAAATTATCTTTGGCAGCAGTGGAAAGAGAAACACCACAGAAGAAAGTAACACTTCTGCTGAGACAGGTCGATTTAACATCTCCTTTTCATTATCCCACGAATTTTACTGTGAGAAACAACAGATCTGGTATTAAAAAAAACAGCCAAAAAACCCCAAAAATCCCCAAAACACAACAACCACACAAAAACCCCCAAGTCAAACCCCATTGAAACATCTCAATCTTTCTTTCTCTCTCATTCATGTTATTTTAGAGAACCTCAAGATGTTTTTAAAACCTGAAATGATACTCAAACTCAAAATGTGGAGTCACCAGGAGAAGTTATGTGCTATAAAGAAATTTTTTTCCTTTAAATTAAGTTTGTTGGGTTTTTAGAGAAAAAAAGAGACTGAGGGGGTAGTAAGATTACCATGAACAACTAAAAGAGAGGGAAAAAAAAAATCTAATCATAGCTCAGGCTCAGTAAAAAGATTTTAGACCTTCAAGAAACTTGTTTTAATTAAGAAAATACAAAGTTTTCTAAAATAATTCCCTTACAAGGCACAGCAAAATAGCAAGAAAAAAAAGAATTTATTAATGTTATCAAGTACAACTTACAGGATATTGATCCAAATCAACTGGCTGCCTGAAGGGTTCAGAATCCTCACACTGGAAAATTAAATTCACCAGTTCCATGCACTGCTTCTTCCAACAGTTTTCATCATAGCCACTTTTCAAGGTTTTTCCTTTTTTTAAACCCCGTCCCTTGAGGGGAAAAAATAGTTAGGAAAAGCATTAATGGAATACAGCAAGAAAAAATTCAACCTGATTTGGGTTATAAGGTAAAGATTGGCCAACTCACTTTTCTTCTTCTGTATGATGTTCTTGGAACACATTTTTCATCATCCTGCACAAAATAAAATCAATTATCTTAAAAGTGATGTAGGAAAAAATAGGTGATGGAGGTTAAAAGTGTCATTAGATTTGAGACTGTGGTAAAATTAAATTTTCTTCTTAATTCTTTCAATAAGACAAAAGATGAGCATAAAAAAATACAACACATCATGTGGGAGACCTGGAAAGCAATATCCTAGATAAGGACAAGAGCTGGAGTCTGGAATCTTCAGTGGTTTGAGAAAAGGAAAAACCACCATCAGAAATTGCAATTAGAAGTTACCCAACAGCTTTGAACTTCAGTGACTAAATATTACCAGCAATGCAATTCACTGATAATAAATGACATAAAGCATTCATAAAAATTCCTACACAGTTCATGTTTGTATTAGCTATGTAAATAACTCAGCAATTTTACCAAAAATATTTGAAGGTTGCTAGTAAGAAAATACCATAAATTACTGGAATTTTCCACCAAAAAACCCAACTTACCAGATCAGCATCATGACAATCTTGTTCATCATCTGTTGTGCTACATAATTCAAAAATATTTGTACAGTCCTGGTCACTGCAATGCAATTAAATCTCTGTTACTGGAATAGCAAAAGCAGAGCTGTTGTTTCCTAAATTCAACTCAGCCACAACCAAGTACTCCATATAAAAGTGAAGACAGTAACTGAGTATTAAATGGAATATAAAAATTAAGATTAGGGATTTGAAAGGGGCCTGCCCAGCTGCAGGAGGGCTGCCCACACTCACTTCAAAATAAACCTCTCCGTTTATTTTAATTTTTCAATGAAGTCAGACAAACTACAACAGGAACTTCTATACAGGATAGCACAGAAGTTACTTTTTACAGGCTGAGCTACTTCACATACTCAATGTCAAGTGACATTTTGGGACTGTAATACCAGGGAAAAAAGTGAAATGCCTCTAAGCTAAACACTTCAGTATTTAGAGTAACACTCAGAATTATACACCTCTCCTTACAGTGCACTGAAACGAGTGAAAGCATGGATCACCACTAAGGGATATTAATTAAGCTGTTTTCACTCTCCACTGTTCAGAAGCATGAAGATTCAAGCAGTATTTAAATAAAATGCCACTTACTTGATAAACTTGAGGAGCTGTGTGGTGATTTTTTTTGCAGCTCTGGCAATAGCACTCCCAGGCTCATTGAAGGTTCTGGCATTGCTTTCAATGTATCTGACTTCCCAAACCAATGCTGAAATTCTCCTTCAAATTAGAAAATACTGCATCTTTAATACTAAAGAAAAGTTTAAAACCAGCAAAAATTATCTCTGTGATTTCCTGTCCATGTTAGATTTACATGCCCTGTTGTATATCCCTTTAGGGCAGTCTCAAACGTTTCCTTCACATGGAAAACCCAAGGAAGCAAAACCAACAATGTACATTTTTCATCACTCATTTCCCAACTCATTACTGATAATTCATCCTTAGACATTTTGAGATATAAACTCGGTTAGTTCAGCTGGCCAAGTAAGCACCAGCATTCGTTACCCTTAAATCATAAAATACAACTGAAATCATCCCAATGATGGTGGATTTCCTGGAACCTTTAAAAACAAGCATTTTTTAAAAGCTTA